TTGTGGTTCCAGTATCTGTTTGGAGAAATCTCATGTCTGGTTGTGTTCTAAATGCTTATGTCATGAATATTACTGTTAGGTCTCTGAAGGAGGAATGCAGGAGGCCAGAGTGAGGGATTACGAATTTATTCAATCATCCGCACACCAGGTGGCTGAGCCTGGATGGCTCCAGCACCCAGTGACGGGAGTCAGCGACTTTTAAAGGACTTTTGGCAGGCTTTTTTTCTGGGCAGAGACTTCTCTATGCATACCCGGAGGGTAGATAATGGAACGTGGTCACCACAAGTGAAAGGTGGTCTCGGCAAAGGAAATGTCCATAATGAAATGACCTGAAAAGCCAGTTCCTGGGGGAGGGGTATCAATTCAATTATTTGATCAGACCTAACAATTACTTCAATTAATGTTTATATCATTTAATAGAGGAGACTATCATCCTCACTTTTTAGGTGAGGAAACTGAGTCTCAAGGAGGGTAAGTAACTTGACCCCCCAAGGACAGACATGCAGAAGCTACAGTCAAGATTTCAACCCAGGTTCTCTGATTTCAGAGCCCAAGTTCCTAAATACTATATTGTAGCACTTCTCATTCAAAGCGGGTAGAGCTTTGGGGAGATGTTAGGATTAACCACTCCTCCTACCCCCATTTCTTCCCTCATTCTTTTCAGTCTGCCTTCCTCTCTGTATTCTGTCCCCCTGCCCTCCTGCTCTACAGGGGAACATTAATGAAAGAATCTTAGCAAAAGGCAGAGGGGCTACCATGATGAGATTATTTTTAAACATTTTCTCTGGCAACATTTATGCACATTGGGTAGGATTGGAGTCATTCTAAAACAAGCAAAACTCGTATGAAGTTAGGGAAATAGTTGGGAGCAGATAAAATGTTTGGTAATAGAGATGGAAAGGACGAGACGGATGTCAGGTGTTAAGCAGGTAAAGTTGAAGAGATTTAGTGATGGATTATGCGGGAGCTATGAAGGAGAGGAGAGATCTAGAATATGTTGAGTTTTGATGTGGTTGTTTTAAGAGATTGTTGTGTAATTCATTCTCTAGAGAAGTAGTAGATGTGCCATAGAGAGAAGAGAATTTGTTCATGGATGAGTTTGAAGGACCTATGGAATAAACAATGAGAATGTCTAATAGGTAGTTATATGTGACAGTCTAGAGCAGTGATGGCGAACCTATGACACGCGTGTCAGAGGTGACACGTGAACTCATTTTTTTGGTTGATTTTTCTTTGTTAAATGGCATTTAAATATATAAAATAAATATCAAAAATATAAGTCTTTGTTTTACTATGGTTGCAAATATCAAAAAATTTCTATATGTGACACGGCACCAGAGTTAAGTTAGGGTTTTTCAAAATGCTGACATGCCGAGCTCAAAAGGTTCGCCATCACTGGTCTAGAGATAGGTCAGCCCTATCTAAGGATAGAAATCTCAGAGACATCAGCACATTGGTCAGAGTTAAAACCATGACAGTGGATGCTTTTGCTTAGAGCAGCGGTTCTCAACCTGTGGGTCGCGACCCCTTTGGGGGTCGAACGACCCTTTCACAGGGGTTGCCTAAGACCATCGGAAAACACATATATAATTACATATTGTTTTTGTGATTAATCACTATGCTTTAATTACGTTCAATTTGTAACAATGAAAATACATCCTGTATATCAGATTATTTACATTATGATTCATAACAGTAGCAAAATTATAGTTATGCAGTAGCAACGAAAATAATTTTATGGTTGGGGGTCACCACAACATGAGGAACTGTATTAAAGGGTCACAGCATTAGGAAGGTTGAGAACCACTGCTCTAAAGCCAAATATACAGAGAGAGCACATGCTTTATATTTCCTTCATGCATATATGGTAGTTTGGGAATCTTGCAGATTAGGGCAGCGGGTTCAAATTTCTTTGGAACCTTGGACCTGCTCTTCAAAACATACCTACCAAGTATCAGCTGCGTGGAGAGAAAGACGCATCTTGAGGAACGGCAGTTGTTGAAGCATCTGGAATCTTTTCCTACTTTCTTCATTACTCTTGTCATTTTTCTGTGAAAAGCTGGATTCAACTTGTCAGGCACAGCCAAATGGGTGTCCCTGTGTAGTTTATTATATGCCAGGAAGGACAATAGCAGTCATTCAAAACGGGGTTTCAAATGAATACATAAGAATAAACCCCCGGGATTAGTCCCAATTGAAAAGTTTGGTGCGGCCAGGGAGGGTGGCTGCTGCTGCTGGGGATTAACAAACAGCTGAAGGGAATGGTATTCACTGATCTAGACACATTTTTAGTGACTGATGGCCTCTATCTACCCCCATGGGATCTATCACTTAAACAGGCTTACAGAGTAAAATTTTTAAATAGTGTGATTTTTTAAATTTTTCCTTCTTGGAAACTGTCTACCTGATTGCGTATGAACGTTTTGGTTCATACATTTCAGACCACAGAAATGCATGCCTCTAAAAATCACTATGGTCTCAGGGAAGAAGCTGAAGAGCAAATTTTCTTCTAGAGAATCAAACTAGAAGCAACAGAACAAAGGAAGCCCTCTGGTGAGAGTGGTGGGAAAGTTGGTGGGATCATATTATGTTCAGAGCACTAAGTGTTTAATTTTAAATTTATTTTTATTTATTTCAGAGAGGAAGAGAGAGGGAGAGATAGAGACATCAATAATGAGAGAGAATCATTGATTGGCTGCCTCCTACATGCTCCCCAACCCGGGAATCGAGCCCGAAATCCAGGCCTGTGCCCTGACCAGGTATCAAATGGAATGGAACCATGACCTCCTGGTTCCTTGGTCGATGCTCAACCACTGAGCCTCAGAGAGAACCCGGTTTGTATAGGGCCTTTACTGTTTGCTGAGCCTATTATGGACATTGTATCATTTAATCCCTACAAAGAGGTTGTATCCCCACTTCACAAATAAGAAAAGTGAAGCCCAGAGAGGCTGGCAGACTTGTCCCAGGCCACAGGGCTGGAAGTATGATAGTCTGACTCCAGGTTTCATACTTTTTTGCTATAGTTCTTGTGCACTCACATGTTGAGCCCTTCGGTCTATAATCCAACTAGATGTGCAGCTTTTGAATGGTTTAAAATTAACTTTATACATTACCCATGGAGCATCAGTCCCTTTTTCCTTCTTGCCAGATGCATTAATCTTTCAAGTGAAAGATAGCAGAGAGAAGCATGTAAGGATACCAATTGTAACCTTGGTTTTTGGCCTAGGAGAATTTCAATGCCAAAGAGAAGACACCAAAAGTGGACACTGCCTAACATCTATAAAATCAGCGAGGAACAAATGATATAAACTACACTTTCTATTCTATTTTAAAAACAAGGCAGTAGACGGGGAGAGGGCTAGAGGCTATTTTTAATATACTCTTCTTTGAAAAATTGAACAAAGTAACTACAATTCACATTTGTTTTTTACTTGCACTTTGCTGAGGGCCTAGGCTGGGAGCTTCTTCCGACAGGTCTTTGAGGCCCCTCTCTCCCTCTATCCTTCCTCCATATGATGGGTGGCTCCATGACAGTGGTTTGATGACTTTTAGTGGTTATAAAAGTTGAAAGGTGAGAGGGGTCAGAAGCCCCTTTGTAAATGTCTGCTTTGATTTTCTATTCCTTGCTGTTGCTTTAAGGATTAGACTAAGCAACTACGGAGAACATTTGCATTTAGTGGGCTCGCAATGATCGGGGAGTGAATAGTTGGTAACAGTTTCAGAGATCATCCACTGTTTTTCTTCCATTGTGATCACAAAGTAATTTCTTTGTAGCCAAAATCATATCCTTAAACACAAACTCATTCTCCCCATGTGTAAAAACAACAGCTCCCACTGAGCTGCTTGGTGTTCATTTAACTCTGTTCCATGTAATGAATTATGCTAGGAGAATACTGCAGAATCATTTTTTAATGAACACAAAGATGGCTGTTGAGAAAGTCGAAGGCTATAAAAGGGGCTTCCTTCCTTCCTTCACGCTGTCTTAGAAATAACTTAGCTGAAGGTTCTGTCGGAACAGGACCCAGGAGGGCTGATGGTTCTGCTGGTGACCTGCAACTGGCTTCGGACAAGTGTCCAGGGCTTATGTGCGGCTGCGAGAGATTATTGCTGTTTAGGGGCCCAGTGAAATGTAGCTACAGGTGTGTGTGTGTGTGTGTGTACACATATGTTTCTGTTTCCATTCTTTCTACTGTCCAGGCCAGGTAGCCGTTCTTTCCCTGGTACTGTTATGTGTCAGAGAGATGTAGAAGCTTAGCATTCCATTTAAAGTTGGGCTCATGGTTAATGCTTGAACAAAATGCATTTCTTCCAATGAAATACATTCTTATTCTTTTCTGTCCTCCATTTACATTCCAAGTTCCCATTCTCTTTCTTTCTATCAATAGCATTTTGAGGTCTAACTTCATATACAATCAAGCATATAAATTTGAAGTATTCAGTTGAATAAGTTTTTGCATATGCATACACCCGGGGAGCCAGATCCGGGATATGGAGCATTCCCTGTGCTCCTTCCAGTCGGTAGTCCCAAGGGTAACCTCTATTTTAACCTCGACCTCCATAGATGGATGCCAGCTGTTCTTGTATATCATTAAAGCGGAGTCGTAGAGTTGTACTCTTTTCTGTTTGATTTCCTCCATTCAACATTTTGCTGTAACTCACACGTGTTGCTGAGTGAAGAATTCCGCGGTATAATGTCTTCTTCATCCATGGGAGTGCTTATGGACCTTTGCACTGTTTTCAGTTTGGGGCTATTCCAAACGATGATGCATGGGCCTTCCCACAGCCCCACGTCACCAAGGCCTCTCCGAGCTCTTATTTTATAAATATAGGCTCCGGAGGACTGTAACTTTATCAGCGTGTAAAAGCGCGCTGGTGCTCGGTAGCTATTTGCATAAGAACCACCCACTTTTCGCCCCGCTCCCTGGGGCTGCGGCGCAGCTCTGACGCGTTAAGCCGGCGCCGCGAGAGCGCGCGCAGAACGCCTGCGCGAAGAGGGGCGCATGCGCAGACGACCGAGCCCGCTGACAGATTCTCGGTGGCGGCAGCAGTGGCGGCGGCGGCGGCGGCGCCTGCGGCGGTCCTGGACTGCGGGGAATGGGAGCCTTAGCTCTCTGACTGAGCACCGCCCCGCCTCCCTGGCCTCCGACATGGCTCAGGAAAAGATGGAGCTAGACCTGGAGCTGCCTCCGGGCACGGGCGGGAGCCCGGCGGAGGGCGGCGGCAGCGGCGGCGGCGGGGCCCTCCGGAGGTCTAATAGCGCCCCTCTGATCCACGGCCTCAGTGACACTTCGCCGGTGTTCCAGGCCGAGGCGCCGAGCGCCAGGCGCAACAGCACCACGTTCCCGAACCGCCATGGCCTGCTGCTCCCAGCCTCCCCGGTCCGCATGCACAGCAGCCGATTGCACCAGATCAAACAGGAGGAGGGCATGGACTTGATCAACCGAGAGACCGTCCACGAGCGCGAGGTGCAGAACGCCATGCAGATCAGCCACTCCTGGGAGGAAAGTTTCAGCCTGAGTGACAACGACGTGGAGAAATCCGCCTCCCCGAAGCGCATCGATTTCATTCCGGTGTCACCGGCACCATCTCCCACCCGGGGAATCGGGAAGCAGTGCTTTTCACCATCCTTGCAAAGTTTTGTGAGTAGCAATGGATTGCCTCCAAGCCCGATTCCCAGCCCAACGACCCGGTTTACGACTCGAAGAAGCCAGAGCCCCATTAATTGCATTAGACCAAGTGTTCTTGGACCATTGAAAAGAAAATGTGAAATGGAGACTGATTATCCGCCAAAGAGATTTTTCCAGGGCATGCTGTCTTCTGACGTCGCACAGCTGTCAGATCCGGGGGTGTGTGTGTCTTCGGACGCCCTGGATGGGAACAGCAGCAGTACTGGATCTTCCTGTAACTCGCCAGCGAAAGTCAGCACTACCACCGACTCCCCGGTGTCACCTGCCCAGGCGGCCTCTCCATTTATTCCAGTAGATGAACTTTCATCTAAGTGACTCACCCACCTATTCCCCGAGACTCGGTTGTTTTGTTTTGTTTTGTTGTTTTTTTTTGCAATGGAGAGAAAAATCAAGTTGGAGCAAGCACTGAACTTTGTCAATTAATTTGAGGCTATTTCCTATTTGACTCTTTTTCGGACTTGCCTGAACTGAACTGTTGGTATTCTAGAGAACTTTTATGTCAGGTTCCTGCGGATTACTTCAGTGTAGTAATATTTTCAGACGTTTTCCCAATAAGTGTGTTGAAGCATACATCTTTACGCTGCTAATATGTCTAAATACATATGTTATCCCTTGATTTTTTTAAAAAAAATAATTGAGAGCTCTATTTATTTATGGGATTATTAAGTTCTGATGCAAATATAAATGTTGAATTAATCAGTGCAGTAAACTGATGTTTTAAAATTCCATACTTCATGCCCACACTAATTTTTAATGTTATTTTTAGTGATTGCTAATTTCTATTTGATGAACAATAACTTACTATTTACGCTATTTTTAAAATATGTTAGTTATATCAATCCAGTGGTTGTCTTGTTTTATTCAGGAATCCTTGGATATTCAATTTTCTGGGTACAGAAGTGAATGGGAGGGGAACTGATAAAAGAATAAAATATAAACATTTGCAACAAATCGTTTAAAATTAAACATAAAGGTAAACATTTAAGAAAATATTTCCAAATGAAATTTAATAGTATTTCTAATAAGTTGTACAAATATAACTACTCTACAGAAATGAATTTTTTTTTTTTTACCAGAAAGTGCAATCTCTTGGGTATAATACTAAAGTTAAATGGAACAGTGCCTTGCAGTCTTAGCCCACTGCACATAGACTGAGGCCAGATTCTTTGTAACCATTGCACACTTAAATGCTTTTTAGGTGTAGAAAATGTGTGGGAAATCCTGTTGAGTTTCAGCAGAGCATCCAGGCAGATAAAACTCTATCATTCATATGCTTTAAAATAACCAGTTGTGCCACAGTGGGTATTGTTGCCAACAAGAAGCCAGAGCAACTTTTGGCTGCTTTTTGGCTCTGCCCATCAGTCACCTTCCTGGTTTTCCCTGGCTCAGGAAGGAAGCAGCTGTTTCCTTGCCAATTGGTCCTTCCTCTCCACCTCCCACCCAACTAGGGCATCATCAGTTAGACAAAAGTACAATGTGATTGGGATCTCTGACAGTGAGCAGCAACGGGAGACTGTGGAATTGTTTCAGGAACCTCTGTGGTTAAAACTACAGCTGGAGTTGAATGCCTTGGGGATGTCAGCTAATTGCCAATGACTTGCAATTGAAAATCAGCGGAGAGTCACATAGGTAAATCAGTATTTGACTTAGGTTTTGTTAAAGGTAGAATTGTGAAATGTTCTTTTTTTTTTTGCCTTTTACAATTAAGACAAAATATGAAAATATTTAATAACAAAGTGTTTTATATTATAGTTCTTATATCATCCTTAACTAGGGAGGGAGGGAGGGAGGGAATGAGGGAGAGAGGGAGGGAAGAAGGAAGGAAGGAGGGAGGAAGGAAGGAAGGAAGGAAAGAAGGAAGGAAGGAAGGAAGGAAGGAAGGAAGGAAGGAAGGAAGGGACAAAGGGGGAAAATCTGGCAACTCTGGCTTTTAAAAGTTATTGCCTACAGAGACTTTAACAATTATGTGGAATTTTTACAACTATGAGAATAAATGGAACTGGTCAACTTTTAACAGTTTGCTCAAGAATTCAGTGAAATTATGTCGAGGGTAAGATCGTGGGCAGAGGCTTGAAATTCTCTTTCAGGTAATACATAGTATTCAAAATACCCATGTCTGCTCTTCTTCTTCAAATTCAAACTTATATATCTAACTTCCTATTGGGCACCTTGACCTGCCTCCAGAGGTACTTTAATCTCAACTTCTCTAAAACAACATTTATTGTCTTCTCGTTGAACCTGTTGTTGAATTGCCTAAATTGATGACGTCACCACTATCTAATTTCCTAAACTAGAAACCATGGGAAACATCCTTGACTCTTCCTTTTCCTTATCACATCCAGCTTAATCGCCAAGTCCTGTCTACTTCTGAAATGAAACTCAAATCTCTTCCGTTCTGTATCTCTGTTGCCACTGATGTAGCTTAAATTCTGGCTGAAGTGATCTGCCAGCCTATCTTCTTACCTTCTTTTGGCCCAGTCTTCACACTGCCTTTAATGTGATCTTTCTAAAATAGGAACTTGATTTTTCACTCTCATGCTTAAAAACTATATGCTTCCCCATTTCCTACAGTTTAAGGAATACTTTCTTTAACATAGAAGGTGTGTTTTTTGTTTGTTTTTGTTTTAATGAATTGGCCATACTCTTAGAAGTTTAATCCTCTGTTCATCCTGCCCCAATACACATCCTTCTTACTGCAAACACTAGACTACTTGATATTCTTTAAATATGCCACACACTTTCATGTGTTTGTACCTTCTGATAGATTGTTCCTTCTCCTTAAAATGCTCTTTCCTTTTCAGGCAGGCAAATGCTTTATTTTTATTTTTTTATTGCATGTGAATTTAATGATGAAGTAATGTGCTGATTATAAAAATACTTAAGCAATATTTAAACAGATATCTATATAGTAAAAACTGAAAGTCTGTCTGTTACTATGTAAAATTCATCTTCTCTTTCTGTAGGTAATTTCAATAATTCTGTATATATTGTGCAAGATGTGTTATTCCACATTTTCATGTATATATGTATATAAATTCAGGAAACCAACATGTCATTTACATCTCTCTTCTTTCTTTCCCCCATAGCTAATCATTCCCCAAATCTTACTGATTTTTTCTTCTAGAATCTTCTTTCTTCTCTACTGCCACCCTGATCTAGGATATTTCCCTCGTAGGCTTCTGAAGCTGCCTTCTGATTCCCAGTTGTCCCCTTCACCCTTGCTCTGGTTGGCTAACCACTTATTTTCCATATAGCAACCTGAGCAATTCTTGAAAAATTACAAATCTGACCCTTCCCTCTCCCAGCTTTAAAGCTTTGCAGTTGCTTCCTGGTGTCATGCTATCAACATGTATGGATTCTGGCCCCAGAGGCCCAGGGAAATTGCCCTTGCCTCTCCTCCCCTTGTTTTCTGTGCTCCACCTTCAATGGCTTGGTTGCTTGTCAAATACTTTATGTTCTCTCCTATTTTAGGTCTTTTTGCCAGATCATTTCCTTGAAGGTATAGGCAGGGGTGGGAACATCCAGCCCCATGAGCTAGGCCCTCGAAATCATTTGGTTCTGGCCCTGCCAAGGCATCAGGGGTGAGTTAATTAAATGTTTGACCAAATACAGCAGGCTAATTTTTAAGTTGATAATTTTGTATGGCCTCCGAAAGATGTTATAAATATCCAAATGGCCCTTGGCAGAAAAAGGGCTTCCCATCCCTGGATAGAGAAACGTAGAGAACTTTATTTCTGTAAACTCCTTTTTCTATAGAGGCAGTAAGTTTTAAATCAAATGTGTCTCTAAGAGTTTATACAGACAATTTACACTATTATGTTATTGTTCATAACTACAATCACAATGTAAGGACTTAGATCATGCAAGAATTATCCTTCAAAAAAACATTTTTGGGGGTATTAATATTGCTAATCTGTAAACTTTGTGCTAGAAGTCCCAAAGCACATAACATTTAGTTACAGTATAGTTTGTCATATATAACAAACGTCTGTGGCATATTTTTCTTTATTATTTTTGTTTAAAACACAATGGAAAAAATAATTAATGGTCACTAAATTTGCAGTTGTTGGATGTCAGAACCGTTAAGCATATTTAAAAGATTGATTATAATTAAGAATAACCTGTATCAGGTTACCTTCCAGTGATTCCATTTATTAGTTCAGCCAGTTATATACCTATAGCAAGAGACCACTCTTAGATATTTGGCAGTAAAATTGGGAAAGGATCAAGGCTTATGAGGGAAACAGGATTGAAATTCATTTTTTGTATGGCATGTGTATGGATGGGTAGAAAAGGTTTGAAGATCCAAGAGAGAGGTAGGCGACGGGAATAATAGAACAACAAACCAACCAGATGGTGATGTCCACCTACATTTTCTGGGTTGCATCAGGGACTAGAAGAACGAGTTGGTCTTAAAAAGGAGATCTCGAAGAATTTATTTTTATTATTTAGAACAGGAAAGGGATGGAAGATGGAACAGCTAGGCAAAGATCAGCACATTTGAATTGATTTGCTATTGCAGGACTTTAGGAGTGTGGAGGAAAGTATATGAAAAGAGAATTTGTATCTGAATGCTTCTATTTTCCAATTATTGAGGAATCTACAATATTTGAGGGTGGAGCAAGAGTAGACTTGGAAGCTTGAGTGAAATAAAGTTTTAATGTTGCCTCTTTGAGAAGGTTGATGAGGCCGTATTGGGTGCCAGGTTGCAGTTAGATCGCAGGTACAAAAGAAATGGATTGGAATGACCTAGGTTTGGGAGTTGGTTAAGTATTAGGTGTGTGAAGCAATTAAGGATTCTGCTGAAAGTGGAATTGAATGAAGGGCCAGGATCTTGGGGATGGTAAGAGAAGTCAGCAGTGGGTTATGGGAGATTACATTCAATCAGCCATGACAAAGCATACAGAGAATCTGATCTCACTGTGGAACTTTTGCATTAGCAGTTTTGCCCTTACTTTTCATGGCTAATTTTGTTTAGTTAGAAAATCAGTCCCACATCAGCATGCCTTGAGTTTCACTTATTTGATTTTTTTAAAAATAAAAGAAATTTATTTTTTAAAAATTTTTATGAAAAAAAAGGTGAGATTGCTCACTATAGCCAAGACAGTCCTTTATGCCTTCCCTAACTTGTTGTCCACGTAAAAAATGTTCTTAAAAGTTGAAATGACCTTTATATAAAAGTTATATGCTAAGTACTTGCTGTATGTCAGGCACTGTTCTAGGTGCTAAACAAACGTGATATTTCATTTACTCCTTATCATCTGAGATAAGTGCTGTTATTGTCCTCATTTTATAAATGAGGAAATAGAGGCACAGAGAGGTTAAGTAACTTGCTCAGCATTCCAGAACAGAGGTAGGCAGTATATTGTGGTTAAGAACACAGACTGTGGAGCCAGGTGGCTGTGGTAAGGATGACGGTGGTAAGGATTACATGGGTCACTATATGTAAAGTCTTTACAGTAATTTGGGGCAATTTCTGTAGATGTGTTAACTATCATTATTGTGGTGGTGGTGGTTGTCATTGTTGTTATCTTAACAACAGCAATAATGTTGTGGATTCAATAAGGAATCTTTGATCATCCTTGATTGATGATACTCCTGCTTTCACACACAGTAACATTATACTTTCTCCCCTTCGAGGCAGTCTATCCTATTATAAGGGAGAGTGTTTTGGATGTTGGAGAATCTTTTTGTTTTCATTTTTCAATTTCAGTTGACATACAATATTATATACTAGTTTTAGATATACAGCCTAGTGGTTAGACATTCATATAACTTACAAAGTGACACCATAGATAGTTATTACAATATTATTAACTATATTCCCTATCCTCTATTTTACATCCCCATGACTGTTTTTGTAACTGACAATTTTTACATCTTAATCCCATCCCCTTTTTCACCCAGGTCACCCTCCCATCGAACTACCCATCAAAATGTCCTTTGTATCT